TCTCTCTCTCTCTCTCTCTCTCTCTCTCTCTCTCCCTCCCTCCCCCCCTTGCACCTAGTGTATAGCACTTTACAGTCTATACTCATATCTGCTGCTATGTCTTTCAGCTGACACCTTATTTGTGCTTCTTATAACAAAGGAAGTTGTGCCATGTTGCTAAAAGTCACGGAATTGGTGTGTGTGGATGGCAAGCCAAAACCAGAGAATTGGAGTTGATCCCTCTTACCGCTGCATGTAGGGTATGCCACTGACTCCTTGTCGGTCAACTTTTGTTTCCTTCTCACCCAGGTCAGGAAGCCAGAATCCAACCTTCATGAAGAGGATCATGTATGTGTGGACTGTGGGGACGCTTGGACTGAATATATGGAGATGACAGTGCAGATGAAAGAGAAAATCGTTGGAAGAAAAATATACACAGTCTCAGCAGCAATCGATTTGCTACGTGAGGTGAGAAACAGGTGGTAGGGGGAAAGGGGAGAGGGAGGGAGGCAGGGGAGACCTGGGAGAAAAACAGAGGTAGGTATGTAGGTCGGTAAGTAGGATAAACAGCTCCTCCGTGATGTATGTATGTATGTATGTATCATACTTGCGGTGCACTTCTGCGGTGCGCCCTGCGGTGCGCATGCGCCATGCGCCATGCGCAAATTAGTGATGTGCGGATCATGCGGCCAATTTTTTTATTTTTATTTTTTATTTATTTATTTTTTTAGGGGTGTGTCTGTATACAAGAGAGAGAGAGAGAGAGAGACACAGAGAGAGAGAGAGAGCAACAGATCCCCCTAACGTGGCTCAGAAGGCCCATACAGGCATTCTGAATGGTCCTCGCAGTACTGTAGCGCGGACCCTTCGCCAACATTGAGGCAGGCCGTAAATATGAAGTAGAGCACGAGCTGGCTGTATATATACGCAGGATTCAAATTCAGGTCTGTGTTTCAGCAGTTATGGGTTGCTCACTTAGTGGACCTACGTGATTCTCAGGGCTTGGCTGCACTACTCACCAAATGTGCAAAACTAGAATGAATCTTCTGCAGAACATGGAATAATACGCCGCTATATGTTTTGTCTTTTGTGCATGTGGTGAGTAGAGGCCCTAAGGGCCACTGCACGTATTCCTAAGAAAAGAAAAACGAGAAAATTTTCTGGTTTTGGATTTTCTTGTTTTTCTTTTCTTAGGTGCAGTGGCCCTTAGGGCCTCTACTCACCACATGCACAAAAGACAAAACATATGGCGGCGTATTATTCCATGTTCTGCAGAAGATTCGTTCTAGTTTTGCACATTTGGTGAGTAGTGCAGCCAAGCCCTGAGAATCACGTGCAGAGACCAACAAGGCCTAGCTCAGTGAGCAACCCATAACTGCTGAAACCGAGATGCACAGACCTGAATTCGAATCCAGACTATATAATCTTGGCCCACGCTTAGAAACTGCAAGGTTGAAGTGT